CGACACGACACGACAGCCAGAAAGGATGGTGTCTCATTGGATAGAGAATGAGAATTTCGTAACTACTATGCGCTTTCTTTTTATCGTACTTCTTTTACTGTTCAAAAACGATGACTGTTGGCTGTTAGTCAACTCTATTCCCCTCTTCTACCACTTTATTATATACAATTATTAGTTAATATATCCCCTTTTTCCTCCTCCACACCTCCATGGATCAGAAGCTGAAGAACCCATAATTCAAGATTTATGGAATTTTTAGAATTATTGAATTCGGGTTTGGATTTTTGTGGGGATTCTTGAAAATATTATTTTGATGCGACATTAAAATTTGAAAGATTTCAACTAGGTAATGATTTTAAGTTTCTTGGTCTCACCTTTTCGATGATTTTTTTATTTTTTATTTTAAAGTTAGATTGGGGTTTACCATGTGGGTTGAATTTTGGATGGAACTAGATTAATATTAATAATGGACTGAATTTGGAATTCTTATAGGTTTGTTTTCGTTTAATCTTAGTTAGTTGAAATCATATTGGGGATTTGATGATCTTAGATAGCTCTTGAAGGTGCTTATTTTGCATTTGAAAAGTTTATATCAGAGCCAGTTTTACATATACTTCGAAAAAGTTATTTATGCTTTAAACTAGGATTAGAAATGCTGGTTAAATAGTCTTGAAAACGAGTTTTAGCAACTGATATCTTGAAACATAATGAAACTGGAGACTTCTATTTTTCTGTTACTTTTGGTTTTGGTTTCTCCTTTCAAGTGTCAAGTAAAATAGGGATAAAGAATGATTGGTGGTGTCGGTTGATTCAGGAGTTAGAAAGTGAAGTTCTAAGGTGCAATTCTTATTTCGAATTCAAGAGAAAGCATTTGAACAAGAGGAATGATAAAAGAGCTTATTCATAAATAATGCTAGATGATCAGCTATGTGAATAGAGAAGTAAGAGAACATTGGCTTAACTAAGCGTGTCTTTTGGTTTAGGTAAAAAAAGTACAAGTTCGTAAGTTTTTGTTTTCTAACATGTTTGGATATGTTATCTCTTTTTGCTTGCAACTTATTTACAACTTTAACCAGTAACAAAATATTCATTTTAAGAACCAACGTATTTACTTGTAAGCAAGTGAACTCTTTGAGGTAAGCCAAACACGTTCTTAGTTTCAATTCGTGAGTATAGGTGATAAGAGAGAGCATTGGCTTAATTAGTTGCTGGTTACCGGTTCGAGCATTTCCAATGTTTTCTTTTTGCTATTTCTTTCAATGTTTTACTCTTGTGCTCGATTTAAAGTGAAATAAATGAAAAGGGAAGTCTTGTCTCTGCTTAAGTATTGTTGTGATTTATTCAGTTTTATTACTTCCTTTGACACCAGCTAGCGGCCTTGCTAAATAAAACACACAAGAGATGGATCATTCCACACCCAATTCTGTTAATTTGATTTTGATTAAAAGAAATTTTAATCAAATTCTTTTGGTTATAGCTTACAGCTTCCCCTTTTATTTGGATTTGTATAGCCTAAATTAAAAACTGTTCATTCTGTACCTCTTGCTTTCTCTTCTAGAGATTACAAGCCTATGAAATAGAACTAAATACGTCATTACCCTAAACATATATCGAAACAGAAGTCATTGATGCTATTTTGGTGGAAGTTGCCTGTTAAATGAAACTGCCTGCACCCTCTTTTGAAGCACACACAACAGGGGCAGGGGAGAAACAAAAATAATAGGGGTGGAGGGGGTGACGCCCTTGGGGGACAACGGGCAGGGGCTGATTGGGTGAGTTGAGGGAAGGGACATTCTGCTTCCCACTTTTAAGGTTTAAGGTTAATTGTCTTTCTGACACATATCTATACAGAATGTGCAAAAGACAAGACTTTTATCCCTTTGTTTGTATTGAATCCCTAGTGGGACCGAAGGGCTCAAAACTTGAAGGTTAAGACTCAAATGTTAAGAAAAATTGGTTGGAAACCCAAGTCCTCATTTATATCGAAGTTGGTGATCCATGCTATTTTCCTTGTCTCTGAAGATAAATTTTTTATCTGAATCACTAAAGAAGCCTAATAAGTGGAAATAACTGCATGTTATCAAGAGGGATCAACTCGAATAATGTAATTATAGATTGTTACATAACCTTTATTGAAAGAAGTAATGTTGTTTTCTCTAGCAGCTACTTTGAATCTGATGGCTGGAAGCTGGGATGGAAATTATGATCCAGGTGGTCAATCTGATGACAGCCTCCATTTTGATAGACTACGTATTGAACCTATTTACGATGCATTTATTTGCCCTCTAACTAAACAAGTAATGCGAGATCCCGTGACGTTGGAGAACGGGCAAACATTTGAGAGAGAGGCCATTGAGAAATGGTTCGGGGAGTGTAAGGAGAGTCGAAGACGGCTCGTTTGCCCGTTGACTTTGAGAGAGCTAAGAAGCACGGAACTAAATCCAAGTATTGCTTTACGGAACACAATTGAAGAATGGAAGGCGCGGAATGAAGCTGCTCAGCTTGACATGGCTCATAGGTCATTATCGATGGGCAGCCCAGATAACGACATTTTACAGGCTCTGAAGTTTGTCCAGCAACTGTGCCTAAACAATCGGTCAAATAAGCATGTAATCCGTAATGCAGAACTGACACCAGTGATAGTCAATATGCTGAAAAGCAGTAGTCGTCTGGTTCGGTGTAAGGCTCTGGAAACACTTCGTATTGTGGTAGAGGATGACTCCGATAATAAGGTTGTCAAAGGTTGACATTTCACTGTATGTTTTATATATGCAGGTTAAGTTATGATTTCCTGTCTTTAACTGTCTTTTTTGCAGGAAATAATGGCTGAAGGGGACACTGTGCGCATGATAGTCAAATTCTTATCGAATGAGCAATCCAAAGAGAGAGAAGAAGCTGTTTCTTTACTGTATGAGCTCTCGGAATCTGAATTATTGTGTGAAAAGATTGGTTTAGTTAATGGAGCAATTCTTATGCTAGTTGGAATGGCTAGCAGCAACTCGGAAAATCTTCTGACTGTTGAAAAGGCTGATAAAACGCTGGAGAATCTAGCAAAATGTGAGAACAATGTAAGACAAATGGCTGAAAATGGAAGATTGCGTCCTCTTCTAACGCTACTCCTTGAAGGTGTTGTAACTTGTACCAACCTCCGTAGTCTTTGGATGTGTATAACTCATTGTGTTCATGTCTTTTCTACTTTTTTCTTTATGAGTATTACAGGTGCTAATGAAGAAATGCTTTATATGGATCAGAATTTGTTAGCCTGCTTATTATGTTAATGTAAAGGTGGAAGTTTCTGTGCTGAGCATGATATGATACTTGCGGTGTTGTTTACTGTATCATGACATAAATTGACAGAAATTGTGGAAAATTAGGATGGAAACCAATAATAACATGTGTTGGTACGCTGTACTAGGAGGGACTAGATTGTACAATAAACAAGATTTTAACTTCTTTTTCTACCATATTTGTTGTG